ATAAAAAAATTTTTGATCCGACCATTTTGAATTTTTTTTTTTTCCTTTTGATGTTAATAAAAAATTTTTTTTTTTTGTTGTAATTATAAAATGTTTTTATATTTCATTTTGTTCTTTTTTATTTTTAAATTCTTTCGGAAAAAAGAAAAAAGGAAAAAGGGTAAAATAACCTTTGTTACGTTTTCAAAGGACTTCTAATCATTTACGTCATCGTCATAATTATTAAAATTCTAAAACAATTTTTTTTTTTTTTTATTTAATGATTACCGATACGACGTGGACGAGGACATAATATCGTGTCAATAGAAAAAAATATATATTTAAAACCCTCAACGTTATTTTTTTTTTAATTATTATCTCTTCATATAATTTTTTTTCGTGCCTGTAGAAGAAAGGAAAAAAAGGGAAAAACGTTTTTTTTTTATTTTTCCATCATTATTCTATTTACACTTTTTTTTAAGTATTAAAAAACATAAATAATTTAAAGAAATTGACTTTTCTTTCTTTCTTCTTCTTCTTCTTCTTCTTATTATTATTATTATTCTTTTTAAATATTTATAGTTATTGTTGTTATTATTATTATTATTGCGGCAATTTATCAAAAATTCGTTTTTTCACATTCGATGGATCGAATTCAATTTTCAATTTTTTTTTCTTTTACTTTCTCTTTTTTTTCCCCCGTCTGTCTCTCTTTCTCCCCCTCTATCTCTCTCTCTCCTCCTCTCTTTCTCTCTCCCTCTATCTCTCTCTCTCCTCCTCCTTTCTCTCTCCCTCTATTTCTCTTCGACATTTCTTACCGATATGTATATAAATTTTTTTTTTATTTCTTTTTTTTTGACTTTATTTTCCACGTCTTAAAAAAACCGTCTGGTATAAATTTTTTTTATTTGTGTGCGTGTGTGTGTGTGCGTGTGCGCGTATGCGGGAACCCATGTGAAGATGAAGTAAAAAAAAATAATAATAATAATTTAAAAAAAAAAAAGATATTGAATATTGCAATTGAAATAAATAAATAAATAATATATATAAATTTTTCTCTCTTTCTCTCTCTCTCTCTCTCTCTCTCTTTATAGATAATCTGAATATAATTTATTTCAATGTTTTTTTTTCTTTCTTTTTTTTTTTTATAGTCTATAAATTTTTTTTTTTTTTATTCGGTTATGAAATGGAAAAAAAAATGGAGGGAAATGCGATGAGATTATTTCGGTACGAATGATTTGAATTATCACTTAATAATATATAATTAAATAATATTCTTACTTTTCTTCCTCTCTCTCTCTCTCTCTTTTTCTCTCTCTCTTTTTCTCTCTCTCTCTCTCTCTCTCTTTTTCTCTTTCTCTCTCTCTTTTTCTCATTCTCTTATTATTGATATTCTTCTTTTCTTTTTTTCTCACTTTTCTACTCTCTTCATTCTCTTTTTCTTCTAACTCATTTTCTTTCTACTTCTTTCACCATCTCTCTCTCTCTCTCTCTTTTTCCTTTTTATTCTTTCTCTCATTTTCTTCCTCTGCCTTTTTCAAGCACAAATTCGTATTTTACCTCCTACTCTCTTTTCTTTCCCCTTCTCTCACTCTTTCTCTTCTAGTCTCTTCATTGTCTTCCCATTCTCTTTGTTCTCTATCGTCTCTCTCTCTCTTTCTCTTATATTTTCCGTCCTATTTTTTATCTCTTTCTCATCTCTCTCACCCCCCCTCCTTTTTCATTCTTTTGTTGCCACCAACTTTTTATATTTACATTCGCATACGCACATTGTAATAAAATATAAAATTTTCAAGGATTTAAATACCCAACCGGAAGTTTATACGCAATTTAAATTTTAGTTTTCAAACAAATTAAAACCATCAATATCCGGTTTATTTTCGGATGAACAAATTTTGTTAGAAAACAAATTTCAATTTTAATTTAATTTAATTTAAATCTATTACTACGTTTTGAAAAACAAAATGAAAAAAAAAAAATTTTTTTTTTCGCGAATAAATAAACACCCCCGCATACGTGTATTTTATTATTATTATTATTATCATCATCAACATTATTATTATTATTATTATTCATTGTAACTTTGATGACGTGATTGTAAAAAAAATAATTTCCCTGACACGATTGATTAAGAATGAATGTTTATCACAAGGTTCCGTCGGAATTTAAACGATCGTTATTATCATTATCATTATTATTATTATTATTCTTTTAATGAAGAAAAATAATAATAATAATAATAATAATTTTTTTTTTTTTGAAAACGAGAAACGCGTCGAACATCTGTTTTGTAGGATTTTTAATTTTTTCTTTTTTGTTGTCGTTTAGCAGAAGATGCGATGGATGAAATTTAGGAAGGGAGGAAAGGGGGAGGAAAGGAAAATTTTTTATTTTTATTTTTAATTTCAAAAAAATTTAATTGCGTTGCGTGGGGGTGCGGGTGAGGGGGCGGAGTTTTTCTATTTAAAATAGACTTTTTTCGTCGTAAGCAGACGACAAAAGGTAGAGGAAAAAAAAATAAAATAAAACGGATAAAAATGAATTTTTAATTGTCATGCAAGTGGTAAAATAATAATAATAATAATGATAATGATAATAATAATAATAATATTTTGTAAACGTTTCGCTTTTGTCAAAAAAATTTCTACGACGACCTTTTTTAAACCCCTTATCCCACCTCCTCCACCCTCCACCCCCACTCTCCACTTCGTTTCTTTTTTTTTTTTTTAATTTTATATGTTAATTTAAAATTTTTTTAATTTTCCCGCTCTTTTACTCCATTATCCCTTTTCAGAATGTTTTATTTTTGCGGTTTTTGTTATTCTCTCTCTCTCTCTCTTTCTCTCTCTCACACACACTTTTCCCTCCATTTTGGTTTTTTTTTGGGTTACGCAAAAAGTTTTCCCGTTTTGTATTTTTCTATTATTTACACACGACGATTTTTGTTTCCATTCATTTTTCTGCTGCCACGGCATTTAATAATTTTTTTTTTATTGTATTACGAGAGGTAAAAATTATTTCCCTGCATATTTTGTCCGTGATGGTGGGAGGGGGGAAGGAGGTGGAGTAGGAGGAGGAGCAGGAGTAAGAAGGGGGGCAAGAGGACGCCTTCGTGAGTTTTTGTTTTTTTTTTTTAAACATTTTTATTTATTTATTTATTGACAGATTGCAGTGACGTAGATGGAGAAAATGGTATATATGCGATATCTCCAGGTGAGGGTCCACCACTTTTGGTTTCTTGCGATATGGTATCACCACCCGGTGGATGGACAATAGTACAAAGAAGAATCGATGGATCACAAGAATTTAATAGAAAATGGAAAGAATATGCCGTAGGATTTGGTACGCCATCGGGTAAGTGATTTTCCAACATTTTTTTATTTCGATGTTGATGATAATAATGATGATGATGATAACGATTGGAAATTTTTTTTTTTTTTATTCTCTCGACGAAACAAAAAATATAATAAGAAGGAAAAAGAGGAAGAGAGAGAGAGAGAGAGAGAGAAAAATGTATATAATTCGAGATTGGAGTCGTTGAAAAATTAGTTTGATTTTTCTTTTTAACGTTTTTTCATTTTTTTTTTTTTTCCTTTTTTTTCCTTTGAAAAATACGTAATGAAAGAAAATTTTTCAATTTTTTTTTTTTTTTTCGAAGACAAAGGAAAAAAAAATGTTTTTTTTTTTTGTGTACAAAAAAAAAAAACATTAAATTTAAATTAAAGTTTCGTCATTTCGTATTTTCTACCCCTTCTCCCCCTCACACTTTTCTATTTTTTCATCATTCGAGTAATTAATTACCGTAATTTTTTTTTTTTTGAATTTTTTTATCGATTGATAATACCTGATTGATGATAACGCTTTGATTCGCGTATATACAAAAAAGAAAACGAAAATTGATTTTAAATCCATCATTAAAAAAAATTATTTTTTTTTTTAACGCGATTTTTCATTATTATCATTATTATTATTAGGATTTTCACACTTTTGTGTACTTGTCAAAATTTTCCAGGTTTTTTCTGAATATTATTCCAGGTTTTTACCCGATTCTCTTATAAATAATTGATCTTGAATGATATTAAATGATATTCGAGTATCAACCAATCGTAGCTTTCGTTTTATCGTAATATAAGAAGCTTTTGCATCTATTGTTATCGTAATTGTTACCGAGTTCATCTTATTCAGTTGAAAACTTAAAATTTTCCCAAAAATGTCTACAAGTTGTATAAAACTATAAGTTCCATGTTTTTTCTTTTTTTTTTTTTTAAATTTTCCAGCATTTATTCCAGGTTTTTACCCGTTTCCTTTGAAATTGTCTATATTTCAACCTCTTTTCCCCTTTTTTTGATTTTGGGTGTTTTTTCTATGGATTTTTGGTACGGATACTTCAATTAACTTACCCCATTTTTCCGCATCTCAAGATGATATCCGGTTTGTTGGCTGGAACAGTTTTGTTGGTGTGGATTTGCTGATTATTGAGAACTCAGGTACGGTCCCCCGTCGTAATTGGGGCCCTATCTGGTGAAGATATTTACCTCCTTGTGCTTCTCTAAATATTCGTGCGATGGCAATATCGGTTGAATTCTATTGAAAGCTGTAATCAATCATCATCATCATTATTATTATTATTACTATTTCTAAATTAAGTGTTAAATCAAGCGTCGAAATAAATCGGGTCGGAATAATATTAATAGAAGCCGATTAAAACACAATTAATCATCATTATCTCAACGATGGTGGTGGTGGTGGTGGCGGCGGCGGCGGAAGTAGCTACGATAATGATGATAATGATGATGATGACGTGAGGGATTTAAATAAGTTAAAGTTTTGTTTCGGATTACAAAAATTAATCCGGATAAAATAATTGTGTCTCATTCGTGAAACAATTCAAATAATTTGTTAAAATATTTTTGACGCCATTTTGAAAAATTTTTTAAATGTGTTCGAAAAATAACAAAAAGGAAAGAAAAATGGGGGGAAAATTTTTTTTTTTTGTAAATATTTTAATAAATATGAATTTATGTGAAGACACATAAGTACGCGGTGATAACAATGAAAATTTTTTTTTACATTAAATAATTACGAAATAATTTTTTAAATGATGAGGAGAGAGGAGGGGGGAAGAGGGAAAAGAGAGGCGAAACATTTATTAATTAAACACGGGTTTTATTATTATTATTATTACATGTATATATAAATAAAATAATTCGAAATTTCTAGAAGAATTTTTAAAATTTTTACGCCATCTTTTTTTTTTTGGGAAAAAAACCATCGTAAATTTTCCGGGTAACAACAACAACAACAACAATTAACGACGTGAAAAATATTCCATGTTGAAATGATAATAATAATAATAATAATAATAATAATAATAATAATAATAATAATAATAATAATAATAATAATAATAATAATAGTAGTAGTAGTAGTAGTAGTAAAGCGTGGCATTAAAAGTAAAAAATATTTTTAAAAAGTTTTTTTTGTTTTACGCGATAAAACGCCCGATGTGAAAGAGTAAAAGAGTAAAAACTATTTTTTTTTTTTATTTTTTGTTTGTTTACTCTATGGAAATTTTTGTTTTTTCCTTTTCCTTTTTTTTTTTTTTTTTTTGAATCGTTTTTTTAAATTGATGGAAAAGTCGAAACGAAATGGGATTTGATTATTTTAAATTACGGTGATAAGTGAAAATGAAAAGAGAGAGAGAGAGAGAGAGAGAGAGAATGAGCAATAGAAATAATAAAGGAAAAACAGAGAGAGGGAGAAAGAGAGTGAGAGAGTGGGGTTAGAGAATGAGTAAAAGAATGAATGAAAGAGAAAGAGTCAGAAAAAAAAAATGAGCGAGTGAAATGCCTAGAGGAGAAGGAAAATGGGAGTGAGAGAGAGAGAGTGGGTGAATAAATGAGAGAATCAGAGATAGAAAAAGAAAATAAGTGAATAAAAATACGGAGGAAGTAAGAGAGGAGGGAGTGATATGCAAAAGAAGGGAAGAAAGTGAGAAAGAGAAAGTGCTGAATGAAAAAAAACGGAGAGAGAAAGAGAATGGGAATGAAAGAGAGAGAGAGAGAGAGAGAGAGAGAGAGAGAAATAAAGGAAGTACTTAATTATCACAACCGTTTAAATTTTTTAAAAAAAAAATTATTTTCTTATTTTTCGGCCATTTTTTATAATAAAAAAAAAATGGATGAATGGAAAAATAATAAGAAAAGTAAAAAAAAAAAAAAAAAAAGTTTACGGGTATGTTTTTCCCGAT